TTATAGTGCATGTAATCATAATGTTATAATCATCATAATAACGTATTTCTCTCGATCCAGGTTTACTTATTTATTTTCATCTAACATCACCCTGGTATAATGTTAGTGCTGCATAATGCTACAGATCCGACCGTTCTAAACGCTTGGCTTTTATTTTAATATCTATACTCTTACTTCCGGGTCACCTGGCTCACCGGTCTTTCTTTTCTTAATGTCTATCTTCAAACGGAAAATGAAAATAGGAGTTTCATAAAACCAAAATCGGACCATTATTTGAATTTGGCTTAGTGGTTTTTCGTTTTTGGATTCAGAAACCAAAAACGGGAGAACGGCTCTTTTTTCCGTTTCTTTGTTTTTGGTTTGAACTACAAATGAAAAAAAGGTGGTTTTCTCGTTTATTCGTTTATTGGTTCAAACGAAAAAACAAACTATCAGAACGTACACGGACCCAATAAGCACACGAAAAGGATTTACAAAAAATTACCAGCAGCACCTCCCTCAGCTGTGATCACCTGGAGCCACTTGAGAAAACAGCTCCACTGAGTTAATTGTGCAGTGTTTAAAGATTCATCACACCTGGTCTAGTTGGGCTTAGTTGTTTGTCTACTCGAGACTGCCTACATTTGAACATATTTCTGAGTAAGAGAAAGGGGTTTTGCACCTTTGTACCCATAGAATATTAAATTATTATAATTGAATTAAATGTGATGTGATTTTCAAAAATAGCCATGATGACAGATGGAAGCCAATAAGACTAAATAGCCATATCATATTTTATTATTAATTACTATTGCCCAGGTTTTATCGAATTTGTAAATAAAACAGCTGCTTTATGTAAACATGACGTCAATGTGTGCCTGAGCAAGAAACTTTACCCCTTGTTGCTCCAGAGGCGTGCGACCTCTGACATATATAGCAATTATATAGCAATTGTAAGTCGCTTTGGATAAAAGCATCAGCTAAATTAATAAATGTAATGTAAATGCAATGAACATAAAGCCAAAAAAGAGAACGTGATAAAATATGAGTCTTTTGTTAGTTTTAATGAAACACCACCAGGTAGTTGCCTACTAACATATGTACACTCCTGTGACCACTTTTTCCTTTTGCGAAGGGGCAAATCTTTCTATACACAGGGTCCTTCACAGCGTGAAGCGCGTAGCGCAGTTGCGTTTGGGGCGTGTCCAACTCCAATTTTGCTAGTTTGACGGCAGAAATAGTTGTCTTGGCGCCGGGTGCATGGTTCAAAAGAGTCATTCTTAGTCTGTGAATAAGTCATGGGTGTGTAGGACATAACATGCAATCCACCAGTCAGTGTCATTTCCCTTTTAAAGCCAGGTGCGCTTGTACTTTGGCATTGCTATTATAATAGCGTTTGAATGGCGCATTATGAAAAAAAAAACAACTGACTGATTGAATTGCAGACTCACAGCAGAGAGAAGACATGGAAATAGCCTAAGTGTGGCCGTGATATAAAAACCACCTCTGATGATAAAGCCTCTGCTGCTCTGTAGTTTATCAGTGAAATGTCGGAACTCCAGTCTGTAACCAGACAGACCAGTCTCCTCGAAACGTCTGGATTGTCACTGCGCTGCATTTATATAAATTATGAACCGGTTGTGGGTCACATCTCCCACACTGGTTTCTTTATTTTGTGTTTTATTGATGTATGAGTGTTTTCTTTAATGATTTACTTTCATGATCAGGGAGGCTGCTGTCGGTCATTTTAAAGGTCATGTGCGCAAGTCACAACAAATATAGTGGGATATTTGAGCAGCAAAAAATAAAAAGGCTGAAGTTATTAACTTGACATGACAGGGCAAAGGAAACTCTGCAGAGGAACTACAATTCAACTTTTAGCTTCTGAAATAATTTAGATGCTGTGATGCAGCTCAGGACTGATCAGGAGGATGGCTGCTTTACTCCAAACTGTTTCTCTGTATGAACCTGGACTGTGTGAGAGAGATTTTAACCAACGCAGTTGTCATTTTCACACCAAATGGCCATGTTGTTTAAATAGCAAATTGTGCGCCCATGGGAGTGTTGTTCTTAAAATAAGCTGTGGTCACTCAGGCAAATTGTTGGCACATTCCTATTTTGAAGCAACAGAAGGCGACTGTACCATTGACCAAACGGCAAGTCAACGGCACAGTATTTCACTGTTTCTTTGTTTTTTGGTATTTTTGTGGCGCATTACTCCACTTTACGCACGAGGCACAGCAACATAACTTAATATTAGAATCTCTTGACAAGTGACAGGATCGGTCAGGATCTAATGTTAGTTCATGTTCTGTGTTCTTCTCCATATCCAAAAGCTCTTACATACACGTCCATTGAAACTGGAGTAAAGCAGCGTCCTCCTGATCAATCCTGAGCCCCCTCAGAGCGTCTAAATTATTTCAGAAGCTAAAAGTTGAATGCTCTGCCTTCTGGCGAGTTTCCTCTGTCCTGTTATGTCAAGTTTATAACATTTTTAATTTTTTTTGCTTCTTGAATGCTCCACGATATTTGTTGCGACTTTTTTGCGCATAGAAACGTTTTAAATGACTGGCAGCAGCCTCTCTAATCATGAAAGTAAATCATTAAAGAAAACACTCATTCAGCAATAAAACACAAAATAATTAAACCACTGCAGGGGAGAGATGTGACTCCCCGACCGGTTCATCATAGTTTCTAATAATGCAGGGTAGTGAGGATCCAGATGTTTCACAGAGGAGACAGCATCTGTCTGTCTGTTAACAAACTCCAGTCTGCTTCACTGATAAACACAGAGCTGCAGAGGAACATTTGGCTTCATGAGGCAGTTTTTATATCGCTGTGAATCTGCTGTTCAGTCAATTAATGTATTATAATGCGCCATTCATCCACTATTATGATAGCAATGCGCCAAGGTGCAAGCGCACGCAAATCTGATTGGTTTGTTGCATGTTGTGCCCAAAACATGGCACGCACTTCACGCCACGCAGTTAGACCGTTCAAAGTGGGCACTGTGACTTCTTCCTCTTCACCTGTTGAGGCACAGCGGAGGAGATATTTGATCCCATCACATTTTACAGATGGTGTTGGAATAACAGGACTCCTGTGAACTTCTTGATCACAGCTGGTTCCAAATCAAGGCACATATCATTTATCATCAACTCAGATTGACACATTTCAGTATACGGGTCTCTTACTTATCCAACCGAGGTACAAGTTTAATCAACACAAATGACAACGTAGGCTATTAGGCTACAATTATTATAATGATTACATTATTTACAATTAAGAGGTGGTGTGCCTTGACGTTTTCGTTTGATCATTGATGTGGGAAACCTCTGCCGCAGACAGCGGCCGTTTTAATTGCAAATTTAGTGAAACCAGAACTAAGCTTAATAATAAATTATGATATAGTTATTTAGTCTTATTGGGTTGCATCTGCTATTTGCTATTTGCTATAATCTGCTATTATCATGCTATTTTTTAAAATCACATCAGGTACCGGTATTGATGGATAAAGGCTAACTGTGCTAAATGATTATCTATGGCTACAAAAGTGCAAAGTCCCTTTCGCTTACTCAGAAATTTGTTCAAATGTAGGCAGTCTTGAGTAGACATAAACTAACTAGACCATATCAGGTGTGATTAATCTTTAAACACTGTAGAATGAACTCAGTGGAGCCGTTTTCTTAAGTAGCTCCAGGTGATCACAGCTGAGGGAGGTGCATTGCGACACCTGCTGGTCATTTTTTGTAAATCCTTTTGGTGTGCTTGCTGTTGGTTCGATGCCATCGATCTTTATAATACTGAGAACACTTTCCTGTCCACAGTATTAAAATAAGCCTTAATCTGTAATGCTAAATAACAGAAATACCTTTGTTTAATTCATCACAAACTGATCACCACTTCATAAAAACTGTTAATCTCTTAATCATGGATTTATTGCATTACTTAATTAGTTTTCGCTAATAAACTGTCAACTAAGTGTATATTTTTGTGTAGACATTGCATTGTCTTAAGGCAAAGAGGGAGAACCACAGCAGTAATGGAAATTCTTTTGGAGCCCCTTAATTTTGAAAAGTAGCCTTAAGTACAAAGATTAGTGATGGAGCACACTATCCAATCAGAAGCAAGGGGTTGATGAAGTCCCACCCACCAATGAAAGGAATTATTGAGTAATAAATTAGTATTTTTGTTTTGATAAAAAAAAACAGTAAAAACGAAAACTCAAACTGAATGTTCATTTCGGGCCCAAAATTCAAAAAACAGAAGAACGGCCTGTTTCTGGTTTCTGCCTTTGTTAATTATACCAAAAAAACAAGCGTACCTTCGTCCGAACCGTTATTTGAATTTGCTTTAGTCGTTTTTCGTTTCTGGATTCAGAAACAGAAAATGTGCGTTCATTTGCTTCATTGTTTACAAACAGTGGATATGGTTGTGGATTTCAGAAATAGCCTGAAATCTATCATCCCTCCAGGACCTGTTCACCTCGAGGTCTCTGAGGTATCAGTGCAAGTGGACCAGTGTACTCCCTCACTCTTGACTGACTGGTGATCAATACTGAAGTAGGCTACTACTGTCTCTCACCTCCAAGGCACCTCATTGGAGGTGATTAGGCTTGACTAGACAATGACATAGGAAGAGATTTTTACAATTAATTAGGCTGGGTATTAACATAAATTCAGATCCAGAATAGTTGGAATTCCCTGACAAAGATATGTAAACAGCTGTACAATTTAAACAACACCAAACTGGTAATGCCATGCCATCTGTCACGAGACACAGAGAGGACAAGTAGGAGAGATGAGGCCAGCCCATTAAGCGATGTGATTGGGCCATTATAGAAAATTAACCAATATACCGTGTCCGCTGCTTTATGGGCCGGTCGTTAGGAATTAGAAATATATACAATGTATTGCCATACGACCGACCCCCAAAGTCGGCCAACCAGGAAAATGCCTGGTACGCCAGATTAGATAAAAGTGGACCTAGCAGTACTAGGTGTGTGGTGCAGTGTGACTCACCTGTTCCTTTGGTATGGTCTCCTATCCTGTATGCATTAGGCTTGACTGAAACTCTGCTCCACACCTTGCTATCTTCTTTCTCGTGATAGTACAGACACAGCCCATTCTCAAAGTCACAGTTGGCTATAGAGGGGTCAAAGGTCGGCTCTGAAACACAAAACACAGCATCTCCAATGTAGTGAACCAGCCAGTGTTGGTTTAATTATTTTATCCCAAAAGGAATAATCTGGAATCTCTCTTTGAGATGAGAGAAGGGGGTGGGGGCAGTTTTGACCATAAAACCTACCACCTCCAGTTAAGTTGAGATAACAGACTCTATGCTTGACTGTTAAAATGACAATATTGACCTTGTCCGGAGACTAACCTCATCCTGAACTAGACTATCAGGACCTTTTTGGACAAGGGTCATAAAACTCTAAACTGACCCCCACACAAAGTCATTCCCCAAGACCAAAAGTTATGGTAACGACGTTCCTCTTTCAGATTACCTCAGACATCAAAGAACCCCTTTCTTCAGTCTTGATTCTCTACCCTACCAAAGAGCCATTAACATGGACTCTTAACATGCCCTTTCCCTTTTCACACCCAGTTGTGAAACTGGTGAGGAAAGCCAGATGCCAAGAAAGGAACGGCCTCAACTTCCTTTATGTGAACAAGAATGTGGTCTCATAAACTTGCCTTATTACCTTGTTTGAATTAAATAATCTTTAAGTTACTTAGTGGCCTGCCACTATAATTTGAGTAGTTCTATTACCATGTTCTTGTTAGATACTGCGTGGAAAAGAAGAATCCATAAATAAGTTAATTTTGCAGTGCTCTTTAATCTTTAACTCACCAAATTTCCAGCATTTAATTTAGGTTGTAACTAATGTTGTTCCTTTATATACTTTCTTTATAAATGATATGGTACAGAAATATTGTCATTTGTTAAATAACCAACTTTCGCTGCTGACCAGTGTCCCCCCCAGAGGACAAAAGAAGTATTGCATGCCATTGTTAACTGACTCTCCTTGTGCATAATTTACATTACTCTGTCTTTTATTGTTTGTAATCTGATGCCATGTTCTTATAACTTTCTTATATATTTTCTAAGTAAGGATGTATTGATGTATAACGGTAGGAGGAATAGTCGTAAGCATTCAAAGTCCACGGGGCATCACCAACCTGTTCACGTTTCTAACAGATTTTCCCCACTCAGCGACACACCTGGTGAGAAACCAACTCTGATCATTGGCAGCTCCATTTTGAGAAACGTGAAGTTAGCGAAGCCAGCGGCCATAGTTAAGTGCATCCCTGGGGCCAGAGCGGGCGACATTGAATCTTATTTGAAACTGCTGGCTAAGGATAAACGTAAATACAGTAAGATTGTTATTCACGTCGGGGGTAATGACTCCCGGTTACGCCAATCGGAGGTCACTAAGATTAATGTTGAGTCGGTGTGTACATATGCAAAAACAATGTCGGACACCGTAGTTTTCTCTGGACCCCTGCCAAATCTGACCAGTGATGACATGTATAGCCGCATGTCGTCATTCCGCCGCTGGTTGTCGAGGTGGTGTCCAGCAAACGATGTGGGCTTTGTAGATCGTTGGCAGACTTTCTGGGGAAGACCTGGTCTGATCCGGAGAGACGGCATCCATCCCACTTGGGAAGGAGCAGCTCTCATTTCTAGAAATCTGGCCAAGTTTATTAGTGGACCAAATCCATGACAACCCAGAGTTGAGACCAGGAGGCAGAGTCGCAGTTTAACACACTTCTCTGCTCCTCCATTTCAGGAGTTACTTGGTGAAAATCCTATAGTGTCCGACCATTGAAGTTATTTAAATCAAAGGTAAACAGAAGAGGAGCTGTGCATAAAAACCTCATAAAAATTAAAACCACAAGAGCAATAGTGCAAACGAATAGGAGAGTTAAATGTGGACTCTTAAACATCAGATCTCTCTCTTCTAAAGGTGTACTAGTAAATGAACTAATATCAGATTATGATATTGATTTATTTGGTCTTACTGAAACCTGGCTGGGTGATAGAGAATATGTTAGCCTAAATGAATCCACCCCTCCCAGTCATATTAATACTCACATTCCTCGAGGCACAGGCCGAGGAGGTGGAGTTGCAGCTATCTTCGACTCTAGCCTACTAATCAGCTCTAAACCTAAACTAAACTATAACTCATTTGAAAGTCTTGTTCTTAGTCTTTCACACCCAAGTTGGAAATCACTGCAACCAATTCTTTTTGTTATAGTGTACCGAGCACCTGATCCGTACTCTGAATTCTTATCTGAATTTGCAGAGTTTTTGTCAACTTTAGTCCTTAAAACGGACAAAGTTATTATTGTAGGAGATTTTAATATTCATGTGGATGTTGAGAATGACAGCTTTAGTACTGCGTTTATCTCTTTGTTAGATTCCATTGGCTTCTCTCAGAGTGTTCATGAACCGACTCACTGTTTTAACCACACCCTCGACCTTGTTTTGGTGTATGGTATTGAAATTGAACATTTAATAGTGTTCCCACAGAATCCCTCTTTATCCGACCACTGTTTGATAACTTTTGAGTTTGTATTGCTGAACTACTGCTGTAGCTAAATTTAAGGATGCGATTCCATCAGCTCTAAATAAATTATCAAGTCACAAAGTAACGGAGGACTCCTATGCTAATTTCAGTCCCTCCCAAATCGATCATCTTGTTGATAGTGCTGCAGGCTCGCTGCGAATGACACTCGACTCTGTAGCCCCTCTAAAAAAGAAAATACTAAAAGACGGTTAGCTCCATGGTATAATACTGAAACTCGCGAATTAAAGCAAATATCACGGAAACTTGAGAGGAATTGGCGTTCCACCAAATTGGAAAATTCTCTTTTAATTTGGCAAGATAGTCTTAAAACTTATAGGAAGGCCCTCCGTAATGCCAGAGCAGCGTACTACTCGTCATTAATAGAGGAAAATAGCAACAACCCCAGGTTTCTTTTCAACACTGTAGCCAGGCTGACAGAGAGTCACAGCTCTATTGAGCCAAGTATTCCCATAGCTCTCAGTAGTTACGACTTCATGAGCTTCTTTAATGATGAAATTCTAACTATTAGAAACAAAATTCACCAAGACCTGCCCTCAACTGGCACCAACTTATCTCTAAACTCAGGAACCTTAGAAACAGCTGTAAAACCAGATATATGTTTAGACTTCAGAATCAGATTCTTCCCCACAACAGACAAACTAAATTCACCTTGAACCTTGAAATTATTCTCATTGATTGCACCCTGGTTGTTTAATCATCATTGTTTTTATGTCTTTGATATATTTAACCTCACTGTGTATTCACTTTAGTTAGTTAATAAATTTCACCTTAATCACAGGAACGAGTTTTTACTATTTCCGAACATTAATATTCATAACTTTATTAACCAGTAAAGTAGGTTTGCTACACCTATATGCCTTGTTCGCAGAGGTCTGAATGACTGAATGGAAAGTGTGCATCATGCAAAATAGGAACCCGGTATTGTCAGAGTAAAATAGTTTTATAGTATAACATTTTCCACAGATTTAACACCATGGAAAAAGTCACAAACATGTACATTCATTTTCATGAAACAATTCATGTTTAAATAATGGCCGTTGTGATTGCAGTCTGATCCACTCTATAGTCATAGTGTCATCATATATTCGACAGAAAAAGAGTTTTTCCTTGCCTCTGTCGCCAAGTGCTTGATCATGATGGGAATTGTTTGGTGTCTATAATATTACAAAGTACGGTCTAGACCGGCTCTATATGAAAAGTGCAATGAGATCATTTTTGTTATGAATCGGTGCTATATGAATACAATTTAACTGAATTGAATGAGAAGAAACTCTTAAACGTACATGTGTAAGATTGCATGATTTCAGTCATCTGTTCATCCTACAAGCAAATGGAGGGCATCACCAGACTAACCAGGAACGAACAAATCCTCCGAGACTGATACAGGAACCGTACATTATCAAACTCAAGCCTGATGCCAAGCCAGTTACCCTCAAAGTGCCACGGTGTGTTCTACGGCTATTGATGGGAATAGTAAAGACAGAGCTTAGTGCCATCTGCTGCATAGAAGAGCCGACAGAGTGGTGTATTGACGTGGTGGCACCAAAGAAGTCTAGAGATAAAATCTACATCTGCATTGACCTCAATGATGCAGTGGACCCAGAACTGGGCATGCTGTCAGGTGCAATGAGGTTCACCACAATTGATGCCAACGTGGGATTCTGACAGACCTCATTGTAAACAGAATGTGCACTCTACATCGCCTTCATGACACCATTTTGGGTGCTCTTACTTGAAATGTCCCCCATTCTGCATTGCCTCAGCCCCAGAGCACTCTCAGAACCTGGAGCAAAGCATATGATGTAATGTTAAAATAATGTATTTTAAAACATGAAGTTGTCTGAAGTCTTGTTTTGCACCGCTGAGGGAAGCAGAGGTGCAGTAAGAGGAAGCCAGAAGGCAATTAATATGTGCATTGTGTTCTACAGGAGCAAATAAATTGTAAAAAAGAAGCCATCTCGAGTCATCCTTCACACGCCATTAAACCACACCCGTTACACTACAATGTGTCACCTAAGCTGGGCGGACCACCAAAGTAAAGTGAATGTGTGGGAAACACTGTCTGAACAGTTATTCTTTTTCTTTTACAAGCCAGGTCTTCAGCACTGTGTCTCTCTCCATGATGTTGACAGTTTCTAGTAGACGGATGCGTGCAGACGAAGAGGAAGGGACGGGGCTGTGTGGTGAGGGAGAGAAATGAGCAAACGCTGCCAGGACCTTACAGAAACATATCAATTAATAATTAACATCAAACTATATTGGTATAAACGGTATTGTCTAATTTTATATCTCTTTTGAAATTATATCGGTATACCTCATTATACCACACACCCCTAACCTGCAGAGCCCGCACCTCCTCCACCGATGAGAATGGAGGAGGATACAAGCTCCACTGTGGGACACAAAGGCTGGGCAGGGCCACAGGCAGGCCTTTGTGAGCCTAGGAGCAAAATGCAGGCAGGACGGGCAGACGGACAAGTCACCAACCCGCTTTGCTGTGGTTAGAGCCAACAGTAAAGACGTTTTCAGTGAAACAAATTTCATCTCCAACGCCTACATAGGCTCAAATGG